GTTAGTGGGGTTATTTGGTGTGCTGAACCCTCGCCGAGCCCCGAGGGGTAGGACACACAGGCACTTTCAGCTTAACATCCCTCATTCTCTCCCACACGCGAGCCCCATATTGCCAGCTAATCCAGAGCACTAAGCAGCCGAGAGCATGCGGGGATGCGGGGAGAGCACCGAGCGGAGCGCCAGCGGGCTCACAAGCGGGGACGGAGCAGGGCAAGCTGGAGGAAGAGCTGGAGGCACAAGCAGCATTAGTGGGGTTAACCCCGCATTAAAGCTGTCCCAGCCATGCGTCCTGGGGATGCCGAGGGGCCCCCCGCACTCACCGCACCACTCGTCCACCCAGGCGAAGGCCTGCCGGTGTCCTATCAAGAGGATGTCGCGGATGACCTGCGGGTGAGCATGGCGGTGCGCTCGGACCGGGCAGGGCGAGCCCCCCGCATGCCCCCTGCGCCGCCCCTCACCTTGTGCACGAACTGCTCCACGCGGCTCTGCAGCCCCCACACCTCGAACTTGACGCTCACCAGCTTGTAGGAGCACATGATGGGCTTGGTGTGCTGGCGCCAGCCTTCCCGCAGCGGCCCCCGGCCCGTCTTGGCCGAGCTGAAGTAGCGCGGGTCCTGGTGTGACGAGAGCGGCTGTGAGGCCGACGCGGCGCAGGGTGCGGGACCCCGGTGCCCCCCGGCCTCCCTTACCTCCAGGCTGCGGTAGTAGCGCTCAGGGATCTCATCGAAGGCGATGTCCAGGAAGGAGACTTCATGGTCCCCCAGGATTTTGTCACTATGGAAGATCTGGGGAGCAAGGGGAGGTGAGGACATGGGCAGGCACAGCAGTGAGCTTGCCAGTCTCAGCTGCTCCGCTGAGGGGCAGGGGTGACTCACGTTCTCACTGTCCCCACAGTTGTCCTCGTACTTGGTCTCAATGTAGATGGAGAACTTGGGCAGGAAGGAGCACTGCAGGGAGGGAGGCACAGTGGGCCGGGGTGATGGCACGCCTGGGAGTGGGGCACAGGGACAAGGTGCCAGGGATGGGGTGAGGGGAGGGGGGAGCACCCGGGAGCGGGGAATGGGAACAACTGGGATGGGGGCCTGGGGACGAGGTCAGGGAGACACCCAGGATGGGGGCATGGGACAGGAAGGAGGGAACACGTGGGATGGGGATCTGGGAACTGGGCCAGGGGTGACACTCATGTGGGAGCACGCAGACTGATATGGGGCACATGGGGCAGGGTGGACACGGGGCAGGGGGACCAGCACCCAGGGCAGGACCAGAGCCACCTCAGGCCGGGGGAGACCCGCTGCCACCTTACCGTGTACTCTGCGGGGCAGCGGGCACAGCCAGCGGGCAGGAGAGAGGCACAGAGGTGAGGGGGGCAGTGGCCGCGCCGCAGCCCGTGCAGGGCAGCGCGGTGCCACCAGCCGGGTGCAGTGCCAGCCCGTCCCCCAGCCCGCACCCCGCGGCCTCACCGGTGATGGTGTAGGGGTAGTAGTTCCAGGCCTTCTCGGTGATGTAGAAGATGCGGGGGGTCACTGCTCGGGCCCAGCTGGGCAGCTTACTGGCAGGGGGGAGCAGAGTGGGGTCCGGTTGGGGCAGGGGACAGAGGCACATCCTGAGCCCGGCCCCACACTCTGCCATCCAGCGCAGCCCGGCTGAGTGCCGCCACAACCAGCCCCAAATTGCTCCCCAGGACCCTCTCCCATCAGCAGGGACTCGCATCCCATGCCAAGGATACCCCAATATCCCCACCTCAGCACCCCAGCCTCCTCCCCAGGGGCACCCCAGCACGTCCCCGTACGGTCCCCCCAGGACCCCTGAGCTCAGTGACCCCCCAAGGTTCCCCCCATGCCCAGCACCAAGACCCCTCACTGCCACAGCCTGCCCGGAGCTGCTGTCCCCAGGTGCTCCTGTGCAGATTCCCTTCCCCCTGCACC